ATACATCTCACATTTTATAGGACATTTGTTCTGCTTCAAATGTGTACCTTCAACTTAACAGCAAATTTAAATCAGGAATAGATGAAACAGCTGTTGTGAAACAAGGATAGTCTGCTTATGGTAGAATGACCATCTTATGCATGTTTTTGCAGGACAGTAACAAAGAAGGTTAATCTACATAGGTAGGACACAGGCAGCATCTCATGTTACAGGTTTCATTTGCAAATCGCAGAGACATAATACCACTGGAAAAAAAAATTGAAGGCACTTGCTGACTAGGAGACAAGCAGAGCAGCAGCAAAATCAAAATGGAGAATTTTTGGATGTATCAGGCTGAATATTTCAGGAAAATGGTAGGTGAAGTCTGGCAAGAGTATAAATGGCAATTTGCAGAATGTTTTATTAACCTTCTGAAGATAGTCCAACAGCGTAATATAGGAATTAAGGTTGCCTATATCAGATAATACTGTATTTGTCTAAGTTTTGTAGATACAAAATATAAGCATCTGTCATTTTACTGGAGATTTGGGTCAAATATTTAAGAGTTTTCAATCTTGACATTTTAGTTATTTCTGCATCAGTTTATGCTGCAGTAAATGGAATATTTTATGCATATTTTTGTTAGTGCTAAATACAGTATTTAAATTGAAAAAGTAACAGTGTGTGTTGGAAGCCACGTTTACTAATAATGTTTGGTATTCTTGTCTGATTGCAAATGTTACATTTTACAGAAGCAAATCTTGTGGTGGAAATACAAGAAAAATAGGTGGGAAATAGTCATGCAGTTCTTAAATGGGATATATCTTTCACTATTAGTATCTCTGTAATTGTGCAAATGGGTAAAATATTTTAAAACCACAAACTCCTGAAATGGTAGTGCATTATTTTAAACAGGCTATGAAAACAGTTGGGAGAAGTCTTGCTTTCCACATTAGCTACATGCATTTAGGAATTAAAAATGATTGAAAACTCTGATAAAATGATTGAAAACTCTGAAAAACCTCTTTACCATGGACAATATGGGATGTGTGTAATCACAAGCATCAGTCCTTCTTTAAAATAACCTTCTATGGAGTGGGGGCAGTAGGGGCTCTATCATCTAGGGTCTAGGGCTGTGAACACTTTCTCTTCATGAATTTATTTCGAGCATGGAAAAAGTAAACATCATTGAAAGGAAGAAGGCCAGCTGAAGTGTGGTCACCATTGGCTCAGGCAGCAGATACCTAATGGGAACTTACTTCTTTTCAATGCCCATTTTTCTGTATAGGTGAGGGGTAGGGTTGCCAGATCCAGGTTGGGAAGCCCTGGAGATTTGGGGATGGATCCTGGGGAGAGCAGGGACCTAAGTGGGGTACAATGCTACAGAGTCCACTCTCCAAATCATTTTCTCCAGGGGAACGGATCTTTCTAGTCTGGAGATGAGCTGTAATTCTGGGGGAAACCCAGGTCCCACGTGAAGGCTGGCATCCCTAGTGAGGGGATAGACTAATTTTCACTGCATGGTTTTAGGAACATATCTGCAACTGTGCCCTTAGCCTGGTAGAGAAGTGGGAAGGCATCTGCAGGTTCCCAGAACACAGTGAAAGGTGTGTCCCCCTTCCCTTTTGGGAAGGGATTTGGTACTCCATCATTGGTCTTCCTTTGAAAGGGCTCAGAGCAACTTGCATACATTCTCAAGCGGTCTCCAATCGAGACAAACAGCTTATAGGGGCCAGACCAGTTTAGTGCTAGCAGTAAAACTGTGTCAAGTGCTTTGTAACTTTCTCTAACTTCTTGGTACATTAACAGTGTGGGCTTCAATAAATACAAATAAATCAACAGAGGGGTGGACTTGAGGAAAGAATAGACAGATGTAAGGAAGATGGGAGAGACAGCTGCATTCCTACCCTTGAAAATGCACTGGTTGCCTCTTGAACCTCTATTTAGTAAATGAAATGCTTAGAATGGATGTTTTACCTGCATTAATAATACTACAGTTTTTGTGCATTATGAAGATCTATATCTGTTTCTACCACTTTCAACCACTATAAAAGCTGTGTTGGTCCTCTGTCCTGTAATTCATTGTATTACTGTGAACTAGATTTGTTTTTTACTTTCTATTAAATTTCACTGAAAGCAAAGATTAAAATAGTAGGAATAGGGATCCCTGAGCCCTTCTATTCCAATCAGAAGGTGGGAGTGGGTATTGCAAAGAAGGGAGTCAGGATGCAAAAGTACCATGCAAACTAGTGTTGCCAGACCCCCCCCCCCGTTCAGCGGGGGTTTACCAATTTGGAGGGGCTCCTTCCCCCCCTCCAGCCAGCTGGCAGGTTGGGGGAAGCCCCACCCCAAGAGCGACCATCTGGCCTCGTCCCCATCTCTTCTCAACAGCATTTAAAGTGCTTAAGCGCTGCTGGAGGGAGGTGGGGCCGCGTGCCTGCACCCTAATCCTTGAATTCGGGGCTCAGAGTGCAGGCAAGCGCAGCCTCCCACCCCACCTCTCCCCAGCAGCATTTAAAGGATGTCTTTAAATGATGCTGGGGAGAGGTGGGGGCTGCACGCCTGCACTCTAACCCCCAATTTGGGGCTCAGCTTGCAGGTGCGCGCGGCCTCCCCCCGCCTCTTCCCAGCAGCATTTAAAGCTGCTGGGGAGAGGCAGGGGCGTCCGCTTCCCAATGTGATGACATCACTTCTCTGTGACATCATCATGCTGGGGATTCCCCACCCCGTCCAGTAATGCCCCCCAAAGTCCCCCACTGGGGACTTTGAGGGACCTGGGAACCCTAATGCAAACACGAAAAAGCCAGGCCTGAGGCTGGAAGGTTTTTGGGTCTGCTCTATATTTGAAATGCTATAGATTCATTATTGCAGAGCTAAATTTCTGCAGATAATTGTACTTGATTATAATTTGCAGCTTGCTTGTTGCAAAAAAATTAAACTAACCTCGGCATGCAATAAGAAAAAAAGTTAAGTAATCTTCAAAAAGTAACCATTTCTTCTTTGAAATCTAGGATTATATGTTTTATCCTTGAATATAGCTTTTAAAATATCACTTAAATTGGTTGCTTAAATAAATGCCAATATATTTTATTTATTTATTTATTTATTTATTTTTAAAATTTATATCCTGCACCTCCCTGCCAAGGCAGGCTCAGGGCGGCTTACAGTATACACATATAAATATATATGTTAAAACACTAAAATATGATAAAACACATGTAATTAAAATCACAATATATAGAATCATACACATGCAGATCTGTTTTCAAACAATGCTATAGAGGGTTGGGCTAGGGACAGACCAGGCTACAAACCTGAAGGAAGGTTCAAGGCTGCAGAAAAAACTGGGAGGGGGGAATTCCACTGGGGATTTAAAACTCCTCAGAATAACAGAAACAATGCCTAAAGCTTTAAGAAAAGAATTCTTACTCAATTTGTAGTAGATGTTGAGGATTGCTAAGCAACCATAGTAATATGGACAAGCCTTGGTTTCCATAAAGCAAAGTGGCAGGGGGCTGGGGCAGAAAAGAATGAGAGGCCAAAACAATCCTGGAAAAGATTCTACTCCTCTTTCCACTGTTATATCCCCCCTATTGGAGGAGGACTCACCAGGGACAGAAGCAATTGCTGGAAACTCACTACCTACACAACCTTGTTGAGTAGTGGGGACCACTGTGCAAATTGGCCCAGCCTGGTTAGTTGATGGGTGAGAATGAGGCAGGGAAAGGTGATGATATGGGGGTTACCAGGAGGAGGGAAAAGAGGAAATAGAGTGCAGAGGGGGATATAAGGGAAAATGAATTGCCCCATGCAAGGCCTTGTGGGCTCCCTACCATGCAACTGGGCCAAGCCCAGGTGCTGGCAATGTGCAGCTGGGCTGTAGTAGAAACCGTTGTTGACGCTGAGGAGGAAAAGCTGAAGGGGGGGACAGATATGTAGGTTGGATGGTGGGTGCAAAGGAGAGCAGGAAAAGATGAGAGGCTATGGGGGCTGGCAAAGGAAGAAGAAGAGGAAGAAGAAGAGGAAGAAGAAGAGGAGGAGGAGGAGGACGACGACGACATTGGATTTATACCCCGCCCTTCACTACCCAAAGGTGTCTCAGAGCGGCTTACAAACTCTTTTCCCTTCCCCTCCCCACAACAAACACCCTGTGAGGTAGGTGGGGCTGAGAGAACTCTTGACAGAAACTGCTCTTTTTCAAGAACAGCTGTGCCAGAGTTATGGCTTGCCCAAGTGCATCCAGCCAGGGGCAACTGGAGGAGTGGGGAATCAAACCAGATTAGAGTCCGCGCACTTAACCACTACACCACACACCAAACAGAGGAGGGGAAAATGAGATATCCCTCACAAGTCTTTGCAGATCCCCCACTTGTCTAATTTATTACTACATACGTTGCTAAAATTATAGTTTTAAGTAGATTTAATATTTTGTTGATTTAATATGTTGTAGATTTACTTGGAAATAAATTTCATTAAATTTCATTAAATGTAAAGAGACACAGGAGCTGCGGTGGCTCAAGTGGTTAAGATGCTGAACTGCAGGCTGTGGAAGGTTGGTAGTTCAGCAGTTCGAGACCCGAGTGTGCCGCATGACGGAGTGAGCTCCCGTCTCTAGTTCCAGCTCCTGCCAACCTAGCAGTTCAAAAGCAAGAAATTGCAAGTAGATAAATAGGTACCACTTCAGTGGGAAGGTAACAGCGTTCCGTGCGCCTTGGTGTTTAGTCATGCCGGCCACATGACCACGGAAATGTCTTCGGACAGCGCTGGCTCTTCGGCTTGGAAACGGAGATGAACACCGCAACCCTAGAGTCGATTCGACTGGCTTTTGAGCAAGGGAACCTCTACCTTTACTTTACCTAAAAAGACTTGCTTCCATTTATTTCAGATCTAACAATAATCTGGTGAATTTTTTCCCTCCATGTTAAATTCTATGTCTTCTCTGTTTTCCTTGAAACCCTATCCCCAGGACAAAATGTGTCTCTTGTTGACTCAGGATTGAATTTTGTTGTATTTTCTACTAGTCTCCATCTCCTGATTCATCTTCACCACGAGGTGCCGAATCATCAGGTATGCAACATCATCAGGATGTCTGTGGTATGGCAGAAACACCCACTAATAAGGAGGTACTTTTTTTTTTAATCAGTGGTTTTATTTATGTTTAGGTTGCAATTGTGTTTTGTGCATTAGATCTTAAATACAGCCTGGAATATATATACTCAGAAGTAAATTTCATTAGTTTAAATAGAATCTATTTAGAAACATAATCTTAATATTGTTAGAAGTTTAACAGATCAAAGCTGTGACCTTGAACATAAGCACTGTTGGAATCAGTTTAAATCTATCTAGAATCAGCATGTTGAAAGTTACTGATAAACTTCCATTTTGAAAGAGCTTCCCTAACTTTTCATATAGTTCCACTTCCAAATTGTCTTTCCACAAAGTGGAGTCAAGTGTAATAGAACTACAATCCAATGTTTAAAAGGCATGGTTATTACTTTACTTGGAAAAGCTTTATCCTAAAACTTAAAAATAGCATTTTATAGTATGCGGTACTTACTAGTAATAGAGAAGTTGATTCTGCTGTTTCTTAAAGATAGCAATGTGCAATTGATTCTTTGTGACCCACCTTGGGCAAGAAACTTCACTACCTCCATTAAGAGTTCCCTAAGCCGACCTCTTGCAGGGAGAGGCAACCCGAGGGACTGCATTGCTGTAGGTGAGAAAGAGGGACACTCTGATACCAACAAAACGAGAACTAGTAAATAAAATCTTGGAGGCTGCGGAATTGGATAAATTGACTTTATTGATAAAAGGTGCAACAGATTCAACATTCCAGAATACTTGGTCACGGTTCTATAATTGGTATGATAAGCATATGTAGGCAAGCTTGCAAGAGACAGACTAAGAGTTTACTAAATGAAATATATACCTGTTAGGATGATAGAGACAGAAAAGTTGCTTACACAGTTCATGAGAAATTGTTATTAAGGTGGAATAGGCATCAGTATAAATATTGGTAAAATTGAAAATAACCTCCATGTATCTGTTTGTACGTTAGTATGTATGTGTATGTTATGATGGTTTGTGTATGTTAAGTGGAAAATGTAATAAAACCCTGCCCCTTTGGGGGCAGTTTAAAAAAAGAAAAAAGAAAGAGGGACACTCTCACTGGCAGTCTTTAAACAGTGGCTGGACAAACACTTGTCAGGGGTGCTCTTGGCTGAGCATTGAGCAGGGGGCAGGGGGCATTGAGCAGGGGGTTGGACTAGATGGCCTCTGTGGGTTCTTCCAGCTCTGTGATCTATGAGCTGCTTGAGGCCAGAATAATTAAACCAGTACTACAATAGCTGCCTAAACTTAAATACACCTACAGCAATACAGTCCCTCAGGCTGCCTCTCCCTGCAAGAGGTCGGCTTAGGGAATTCTTAATGGCGGTAGTGAAGTTTCCTTTTCCTCTGGCTCTTCTGAAACCAAAGTGCTGTTCTGCTGTGTAGTAATGAAATTTGTAACACAACAGTCAACAGAGCTGGCATTCAGTGGTCACAGCATTTGTAGAATTAATGGTCTTTGAGTCTCCTTGTGATTACCAACTGTTACGTGGAAAAACTGGTCCTGTCTTATTACTTTTCTCTGGGGCTTTTATTGGAGGTTGTGATCACCAGTGAAAAAATTGTGCAAGAAGGTTTTTATTTTATTTATTTTATTTTTCTTAAAATTGGGGTACTTTCCTGTTAAGCTTCCAAGTACAGTAAAAACTTTGTTAACCATTGTCATTGAGGATCTGGGGTTGCTGGTTAACCAAAAATGCCACTTAACCAAGTATTTACTGCAGCCACGGCAGATGCCTGCTACCTGTGTCTCCCCAGCCTGAGAGGAAGAACAGGTAGTGGGGTCCCAGTGGGCTCTCGCCCTTGGGTGCCACCCAGTGTTCCCTCTAAGCTGAGGTAGTGTGAGCTAGCTCACAGGTTTTTAGCCTCTGGCTCACACCTTTTTGTCTCAGCTCAGGAAGGAGGGCTCCAGAGCAAATTAATTTATAGAGTAGCCAAATCGCTCGCTCACAACTTTAATGCCAGAAGCTCACAGAGTAGGATTTTTGCTCACAAGACACCACAGCTTAGAGGGAACATTGGTGCCACCTGATCTGGAGCAGCGTGAGTGGGCAGCATCCATAGCCCCGATGTGCTCCCTGCCCCCATTCAGCTGATCAGCTCTGTAGCAGGTGGGCCCATGGCACCCTGCCTGTTTAAATCCCCATCTGCCATACAGCTGACTGGAAACGGAAGGACAGTGACATGATCCTCCATTGAGAGGCAGAGGCAGGCAGCCTGCTGGTTAATCAAGTTTGCTGGTTAACCAAGTGCCAGGTAACACAGCTTTAACTGTATTTGCTTTCTACTTGGAAGCAACTACAGAGTGTATCAACCAAAACCAACAGCCCCATTCTGAATAACCATGCAGAGGCTATCCAATCAAGAAATAGCTATCTGAAGAGAAACAATTACTGAAAAGCATCAGTCACAGAGGTGGGTCACTTGTAGACATCCTCCAGGCTGGCTCATATTCTCATCCCATGGAGAAATCTAGAGTAGGGATTTGCTTTCAGGAGTGGTATTCTTCTCTGTCCAGTCCTTCCTGTGATAGCTGTCCTTGAAAAAGAGCAGTTTGTGTCAGAGTTCTCTCAGCCCCACCCACCTCACAGGGTGTCTGTTGTGGGGAGGGGAAGGGAAAGGAGTTTGTAAGCCGCTCTGAGACTCCAAGTGAAGGGCGGGGTATAAATCCAATCTCTTCTTCTTCTTCTTCTTCACTTGTAGACGTCCTCCAGGCTGGTTCATAGTCTCATCCCATGGAGAAATTTAGAGTAGGGATTTGCTTTCAGGAGTGGTGTTCTTCTCTGTCCAGTCCTTCCTGTGACAGTGTTAATAAAAACTGAAGTAGTTGGTTTGGGCAAAAAAAAAAAAGGTTGTCCCAGATATTGTGTTCTATCCAAACACCTAAATAGGGGCTGTATCACTTAGAAGATTACAGGAAATGTGTTTGACATAAACCTTTGTTCCAGAATGTAACAGAAATATGTAAAAACAACTCTCTTTGAAGGAGGGAAAAAGATTATACTAATAATGATAGCTATAATAATAGTACAGCATATCTGTTAATTGAAGACTATATAGCTAAGCTTTTCTCAGAGATGCTATTTGTTGTTCTGCTGCTTTATTATCTCTCCCTACTTGAATGCAGGTGATAAACCTCTTTAATCTGCTCATAGCAACTGGATGAATTATTTAAAAGGATATCAGTGTAGGTGTATCAAAAGTAGAGCCATTAAAGTGGATCAGATGGTCATAGAAAATAAATGTCACAATTTCACACCAACACTTAATTTTCTAGAAAACATTGTCAGTGTCAGCAGGAGTTCTTCAGTTATTTGGTAGTAACTCTTTTGGCATTTTTCTCTTGAGGCAATGATCAGTTGCTTTCTCACTTAAACATTCCTATAGTACTCTTATGGCTCAGCTTGTAAACGTAAAATGAATCTTATTAATATCATCAAAAGATTTTTAAACCCCAAAAATATTATCAGCATAGATGTGACTTAATTTGTTCATAGACAGCCACATGGGTGTTTACGTAGGTCCCACTTACAGCCTACTTTTTCAAACAGTAGTTTACTAAATCAAATTTAATATTTTACTTCTGCACTCTGAGGAGTAAGCTACTGCTATGCCTATCTTCTAATCTTAGGCCCAGAAGAAAGTTTAATACCAAATCTCTGCTATAATACGAGAACATCCTGCATAAACTGTCACCATGAAAGCTATCTCTGTAGGTGTGTGCGTGCACTAATCCTTGAAGAGACAGTCAGAAAATTAGATTGACCAGTTTTTAGGACTTAATCAAATTATCTGTTTGAAAGCTGTCTGTCACTAACAAGTTTTGTGATGGATCATGAGTGTTCAGTCCAGTAAAAGAACAGAATAATCATTAGACTGCTTAAAAGTATATCCAGACTTTTATACTGGAGCACAAAGAAAGAGTACTCAAAAGATCTTTTATACAAATGAGCTTATAAATGATAGTTTTGGAACTTTTATACATTGGTAGAGTCATTGTAAACCCTTGAATCACTTCTTGCCGTTTTTGTTTAAAACATGATGTGTGTGGGTATTGTCTTTGTTCTCGTGAAAACTGCTGTCGTACTGAAGCCAGTCTGGAATTGCCTTAATGATGCTAATGGTATACACTGCACTCCAGGATAACTCCTCAATAATTAACAGGTGCTTTTGAAACATTATAACTATTTAATAGTATGTCTACAAAGACTGGATAACCACTGTCACTGTATGATGAATAGTATTGCCAGGTTTGCATGAAAGCTTTTTTTATTTTAAGTGCATACCTCAGCATGCTTTGCTTGGTTTGATATCTTCTTTGTCTTAATTACAGTCAAGAAAAAGCTTGGCTTCATTCCCAACATATGTTGAAGGTAAGTTATCACACCGATCTTTAAAGCAAAATAATTTTAAACTTGTCAATATAATTATAGAACTATTAAATTTACTGACATCAATCTGTTTCATATAATATTTTTACTAAGCAGGTATTCTCTGTGGGAAAGTCCACAGACTTTTAAGTCCAGTGTAAGTTTCGTCTCTTTGCAGTGCTGAAGCTGTGTTGAGCTCAAGGAAAACTGCTTCCTGTTTACACTGGCTTCTTGTTTATATCTCCTTTCTGTCATGGTGCATGTTCAATCTATTGTTGGTCTTCCTACGAGGGAGGGCCTCTGAGTTCTATTGCCTCATTCTACTTTTCCCAGTGAATACATAATTTTGTAAACCTCTATCATGCTGCTCCCCTATAGTCAACTCCCCCCCCCCAACTACGAAAAGCCCCAGATTCTTTAGCCTTCCTTCATAAGGAAGGGGATTTCAACTCCTTAACCATTTCAGTTGCACTTTTTACATCTTTTCTAACTCCATAATATCATTTTTGGGACAAAGCAACAAGCATTGTATACGGCATTGCAAAATGGAGCGATATGACAGAACTAGACAAAGGCATTACAATACGGACGGCTTTATTTTCAGTGCCTTTTCTAATAATCCCTAACACTAGGTCAGTGTCAGGTTTTCCACCACAACTTCAGGATCTGTTTTCTGATCAGTCACTTTCAGTTCAGACCCCATCAAAGTATATGTGGTTAAGATTTTTGCTGCACTATGTAGCACTTTATGCTTGCTTGAACTGAACGTCATTTACCAGTTTGTTCTCCACTCACCCAGTTTAGAGAGATCCCCTTGGCATGCTTCGCAATCAGTTTCGGTTTTCACTGTCCTGAATAATTTGTTGTCATCAATAAACTTGAATCTTTACAGCTCAGCCCCTTTATTAACAATTTAAATAGAACTTAATTAGAAAACAACTTCAAGTGCCTGTGGTTCACTGGTAGAGTATCTGCTTTGTATGCAGAAGGTCCCAGGTTCAATCCTTGTCATCTCCAAAGAAAAGGGCAAGGAAGCAGGTGATCCTGGAGTGTGACTGCCAGTCAAAGTAAACAATACTGACCTGGATAGGTTAGCGATCTTACTCAGTATGGGGGGGGACCCTATTTGCATACTTCTTTCCCCTGTAGGGACTATCTATTTTTACATTGTTTTACCTCTTGGCTAACCAGCTGCTAAACAACCAGCCGCTTGTCCTTGTATGCAATGACTCCTAAGTTTCCCCAAGAATTTTAGGTAGGGGACATTGTCAATATGTGCTTGGACTTCCAACAAGCTTTTATTTGTCAGTTCACCCTTATCCACATCCTTGTTAACACCGTTAAAGAATTTCAAAAGTTTAGTGTGGCAGGATTTTCCTTCATAGAAGGCACATGGATTCCCTTTAGTAGGGTTTGCACAGTGTGTACGTGGGGGGCAGGCAGAGCTTGCTGCTTCTGTTACCAAAATGGTCAGCTGTAGAGAGGTGAATTGATTGAATGAAGGATTAGCATGTGAGCTGGTTGGTGGCATAGATGTGAAGTAAGAGATGAATCTAAGGATCAAACCAGACAAGATTCCGTAAGATTCAATATGATGGGCTGAGGTGGTCTCCGTCAGGCCGGGTCTCCACTGGGCAGGTTCTACTCCACGCTGGGCTAGGCTGGGCCCATAACCCTGTTGTGCGCTGTGTGTAGTACAGCGTGTCTGCTTCTAGCCAGCAGTAGTCAGCCACCAGAAGTGTTTCAGCCACTCCAACTCACCAGCCACTCACCAGAACTCAACTGCAGAGTAAGCTCTGTATAGCACCACACAAGACAGTCCTGTGGTAAACTATATACAGAATTTATTTACAATATTTACAATCTTCTGACAAAGTGCTCCGCCAATCACCATTACACGAGAAGAGAATGAACAGGGCTGCACTTGTCCAGTTATGCACATACAGCGTCCAGTCAGCTAATTGCTGACTCATTGTCACTGACCTCATCTCTTATCAGGACTTTACCGGTCAGGACCAGTTTCCAGCAGCTTGCCTGCTGACACATAGATCACCATGATCTGACAGCTGGATATTAACATCTGAGAGTGCTATCATCCCAACTTCAGACAGCCCTCCAGATCTTCTATTTGCACTGCTGGAGAAACCATATATGCAACATTTATGTTTTCCCCCAGTGGGACAGATTTTATGTTGGGGCAGCAGCACAGAATTAAAGACCGAAATCCCTCTTCCTCTGTTCCTTAACTAATATCCAGTATATCCCCTCATCCTGCTGCAACTGCTAGGTATCAAGAACAAATATGCTGGCCATCTTCCAGCATCTCCTCTGTCCATATATCATTTTTAATCTTTCATTTTCCAGCCTGAGGCACATTATCATTTTTAATCTTTCATTTTCCAGCCAGACACAGAACTTGTACTTCGGGTTGCATTTTTAAAAAAAGAATTGATAGTAGCCAAAAGATTTGTTTATATGTTTGGGATATCCATATGGTGCCAGTATTTCAGATTAGCTAATGTACCTGTATTGATGCACTAGGTCAAAGCTGGACTGAAACTTGAAAACACTTTCAAGCAGGTTGGTTTGTGCATGCTAAGTGGCAAATTAAGCAGCACTGAAACGAATGGTAACAAATAACAATGAGGTTGCATGCTTCCGACTGTAAACTAAATTCTGCTCATATGAGAACCAACCTTAAATCAGACAATCAGTAATTGGTTCAAGATTGGGTTATTGCTTCTTACTTAGATTGGCTTTCTGCTTCCTTGATCATACAGTTTCTGAAGACGGCACCTGTCTGTATATATAAAATATATCTAGCATGGGCTGGAATCCACAGCCTTCTAAGCCAACTTTAAATGTTATTTATTACATTTTTATCCCTCCTTTCCTCTAAGAAGGTCAGGGCAGCATGCATCTCCACCCCTCGCCTCTTTATCTTCTCAAGACTCTGTAAGGTTGGCCAGGCTGACAGATAGTGACTGCCCCAAAGGCACCCTGTGAGCCTTGTAGCTAGATAGGCTAGATTTGGTACCCTAAGTATACTACACTGGCTTTGACTGCAGTCTTGCAAGCACTTAGGGTGGAATAAAGCAGCCTGAATAGCCATGACTGCCCCAATCTCAGCAAAGCTTGGAAGCTAAGCAGGGTTGGCCACGGTTTGTACTTGGGCGGGAGACCCACCAACAAAGACTGAGGTTGTTATGCAGAGGAAGGCAATGGCAAAATCACCTCTGCTCATCTCTTATTGTGAAAACCCTGTAGTCCTGGGGTCACTGTGAGTTCATTAAGACTTGACGGCACCCAATTATTATTATTAGGAGGGAATACATTCCATTCAACTTGCTTCAAAGTAGGCATGCCTAGGAGTGCACTTCAGTGGGGCTAACATAGTGTAGTGGTGTGTGCATGCAGGCTGAAGTGGTTAATGGATTCCACTTCTGCAGTAATGGCTTGGTTCTAATTTAGTTGCAGGTATTGTTGAGTACTAACTTCTTGGTTGGTTTTATTTTTAAATAAAGTTAAGTTTTAATATGTTGTGTAGATCGCTTGAATTTTTCTTGTATTAACCAAAATATTTTCCATATTTTAGTTTTGTACCCCAGCACAAGCCCTTTGATCTTTTACTTTTTTTCTAAATAGCTCCTTTTTATTTGCCTGACATAATGAAATGTACATTGTTATCACCAGTATAAATGTCTTCACTATGTCCGTAGTAACAAAGATTCTAGTCAGCAAGCAGAAGAAAAATAAATAAATATACCACCAACTAGTTTTATGGAATTGTCATAGCCAAGTACGTAATGGGGCTAAGGGGATTTAAGGGTAAACACAATTCCTTAAGAAGTTGTGGATTTCCTTAAAGAGCTGATAATTCTCTTTGCGGTGGTGGATTAGGTTATTCCATCTCTTAGGATTTACCTTCCAGGTTTCAAATCCAGTGCCTAGAACATAACTGAGCAGTACATTTGTAGAAACGTGTGAATAGCATTAGTCACGATCTCAGTGAGGCCTGTCAACCAGTGCAGTGATTAGGTACCAGACAAATAACCCAGGCCCTGATGT